CTTTAATGTCACCCAACTCAATAAAGAAAAATTAAAGACACAAAAACATTAAATGTATGTACAATGCTGAAATGTTGGAGAGATCTATGATTTTAAAATACCATTGACAATACTAAGTCTTATTCTTATCATGCTGAAATAAATTAGATTTTATTTGGCTTTCATTTCTTCTTAATTCTGAGTGGTCAATGAAGAAACTGACCCATGAATACATTCTTACAGAAATGTTAAAAATCAGTCTTTTCTCTAAGCACTAAATATGTGGGAGTTAACTACAATAAGAATTAAATTCAAGTTTAATTAAATTCAAGTTTAAAAACAAATGTGACAAAAACAGTTCTGTGATTTTAAAGCAAATAAAAGAATATACAGATTCTCTTCCTTGTTGCTTCACTTCACAGAAGATATAAAAATTGTCAGGAGCCACCTATAGGATTTCTGCCGCTATAAAATCCTGGTTATTTCATATATGGTGCTGAAAGATCTGCAGTTTCTGAATCTCCCCCTTTGACGTGGTAATAGGCAAAAGTTCCAATAGTAACCAAGAAAAGCATCTTCAGCTCCCCAGTCCACAGTGTCTCCTCTTTCCAGGAATTTACAACTAAAACCACAAAAAAAAAAAAAATACTCATAAAGCATTATCAGCAAGTACAACTCCTTTATGTTGCTAATGTCTTTAGCAGAAAAAAAAACACAGAGAAATTTAAAATGTAAGCAGGTTTCAGAGTCCTAAGACAGTACCCTAACCTTTGCCTTAAATTTGAAGCTAGTGAAGGTAAACATAAATAGGATCCAAGAACAGTTGACCTCAGATTGTCTCCCTGAATAAAAAGCAAATAATATAGACTGAAAAAAAAAAGAAAAAAGTTATTTTTTACTAAATGATACAATGAGAATATCATATATAGAAAACTAAAAATTACAGCACTATATTTATTAAATATAACATTAACAATAATAGTATAATGTTATACTTTTCAAACAAATTCCACATATATTTTATAACTTGCTCCATTTAACTCTTTTATGATACCATTTTATCATAGAGACACTGTAAATTAAACGTTAAGTGACTTGCCCACTGTCAGCTGAGGTTAGAACTAAGATCTTCTGACTTTCTCCAGTGCTCTTATAGGAAAAGAACAACAACAACAACAACAACAAGTATTTCTTATATAAAATACAGTTTACTCTTAAAACTTACTAAACACTATCTGTGATTCTTCCCTGCTACAGTTTTGATAACACTGGCAATTTCAAGGCATATTGGAAATACCCATATAGAGGTCAATTTTCTCAATTTCAAATTTATGTTAAAAGTTGAATATTCTTGTTGAGTTAAAGAACTTTCACAAAGATAGATTTCAGGTTAGCACAAAAAAAAATTACAACAATTAAAGCTGGTTCCAATAAATGTGGAGAAAATTGACTTAGGATCCCCCAAAATCAGACTTGTCCAAGGAAAGCAGAAAAGATTCTCACATCTCAGAGAAAGGAGATAGTGATATTGACCACTGTATTCTCTTCCTACTTTGAGACTATTGCAATTCTGAAGTATACCCTGGGCTACATTTATCAGAACAACCTAAGAATTCTCTTATACCTCTTTGGAGTGTGGACACTTAATCAGATTGTGAGAAAATTCAATCTCAGAACCTTGATAGAAGCTCATCTGATTTTGGAATTAAATAAATCACTTTCTTATTGAATAGCTACTTTCATTGCAGTCTGCACTGTGAAATGGAAAGATATTTAAGGAGAGCACTTCTCTGTGAAAACCAACAGAGCTGCAAATAGATGTAGGCTTTGTGCTCCTATATAGCAGACATTTAAAATTATATGTTGACAAGGTTCAAACCTGACAAAATTCATTGGATTATTTAAAAGGGGGGATAAGACAGCAAAAGTAAGGCACATGTGTATATAAGGAATTGTTTTGATTTTTTCAGAACAAAGCTTATATTTCTACATCTAGATATGATAAAAACTGAATTTGATGTAATGTTGTATCCTGTGGCATTTCAATGTAAAATGCTTGGGAAGGTGATTTTTAAAGACATCATAATAACCCTAATAACTTCAGTACTATTTAATCCTTTTTCCATTTTTCTCTTCATCAAGAATAGCAATCAGTTTATGCCCTGAAGCATGAATACTGCACAGCCACTATAATTTTACTCAATCTATGCAATATACCTATAGTTGTTCTTATTTATAGATTCCCAGCTTATTTCTAAATAAAAGGATATTTCCTTTAAAACTGTCATATAATTGACGTTCACAGATGAAATAAGTGTTCCATAAACACAATTTAATTCTTTTGCTCATTGTAAGCATGACTTTATAATTTTTGGTTGTATTTGTTTCAGGAAAAAAAGAAATTCTCTTTATATATACATTTTTTGGAATTTATAGCATTTTGTGGGTAAAAGGTTGGTTTGTCAAAATTAGCCATTTTTAGTACATTAATTAAAGATAATGAATGAAATTAAAGTTCCCAGAGAAGAACACAGGGAATATATGTATATTATAGTTATAGGAATTTTATTATACCATATTATATCATGAAACTTTAAGGTGACTAAAGATCATAGTATTAATCTAATTGCAAAACAAATGGCAACAGTAACATATGGATACAAGATGTCATTGTGTAACATAGAACCTGTCATATAGTGTTTTTTCCCTGCACATTTTCATGATGGCCACTAGAATAATGATGACAACATCCCTCATTTTAATGTCTCTGGAATACACTGGGACAAACCGAGGTTCCAAAGCACATCCATCTTCTCACCTACTGTCATTTTACTTGATGAAGAATTTTAATAAGTTACCCAAAGTTAAATAACAATAGCACATGATCTTGTATGGGTTCAGGTTCACTCTCGGTCTCCACTCTCCTTCATGTCTCACAGAATTCAATCGATTGTCTGGTATTTTATTTTATATGGGAGCCAATCACCCACCTTCTCTGAAATTATGCCAAAGGGTAACTAAGAACTGACTCTAAGCCCGGTTAATTGGGGATTAATCTCAAAAAAGATAATTCAAATAAAACCATGTCAGAGTCTACATAAATGAAAAAAATCAAGATTTAATAACCAGATACTATATACCAAGCATATGTATATGAATGTATTTCTAACTCGACTTCCAAAAATCCTTGAAGTTGGTGCCGTTATCTTTATCTGGCCAAATGCTGCTACTGAATCTCAGGTCAGATAGCTGATGAGTGACGGAAATAGTATTGGGGCCACTAGTGTTGAATTCCCAAATCCATACTTCCTTCTCTGTGCTTCCTGTTTCTCTCCAATGACACCTGGAGTCCCAGTTAGCCAGAGACACATTAAGGGGAAAAGAAAATCATCTAATAATGGTCATACTGCCCTGAACTTGCCTGATCTTGGAAGCTAAGCAGTGTTGGGCCTGGTTAGTACTTGGATGGGAAGGGGGAAACATCTTATGTTTATTTAATATGTAATTCCCTGTTTTGAAAAAATTAAAAAGCATTTAGTATCTAATAATACCCATTTCTCAGACTTTTTTTCTAATATTTACATCTAATAAGCCTTTATTTCTTAGATTTTTTAGAGTCATTATTGTTCATATGAGATTAAGTGCCATTCTACGCATGGTGTTGCTTGTAGCACCATCATTTTATTATCAGCAGACCAGGAGCATATCAGGGAGGTTGGCAGAGAACACCACAGCACACCTCCTGCTCCCTAGGAAACTCTTGGTGCTCCCCATGGTACCCCCTCCATTATTCACTGCAGCTGATGAAAATTAACCCAGCAATGCCCTTCCCTGAAGTCCATGCTCTTAGTCAATCTTTGATTTATAAGAGCTCTCTGACAAGACAAAATGACTGAAAAGTAGACACATTTTTCCTCCTTTACAAAGCTAATGTTCATTCCCCTTTGGCTTAATCCTTAAAATGGGTTTTAAATTCAATTCTGTGAAAGCCCCAGTATATCAGACAGTTGGTAGGGTCTTGTGAGACCTGAGGAAAGGGTTGGCCAGAACTGAACTTGACTTTAATACAAGACCATGTTCTATTATTGTTTAACTTTGGGTATTTCTCCCCTAGGAGGAGGACAGAGGAGAACTAACCAGCTCCAGGACCAAGGTAAGAGGGGAGTTTTCTTTCAAAAGAATGGGTTCCATCCATTTGAAGGAAACCCCTCCCCCACCTATTTTTTAATCCCTTTTTATTTATACATTTATATTTTTTAACCCACCAGCATTAGGAAACCAGCTTGCCACCTGTGCATAATAGTTATCTGAACATCCACTTACAAACGTTATAGCAAGCAAAAAGAAAAATCTTCACACAAATCATACCAGTTATATGCTACGACTTTTGTGTTTTCCATCATCATTAAATATTAGCATCAGTCTTCCATTAAGGCTTATATTCTTCAGCTGTTAATTTCTCTATATGTAGAATTATGCATAGTTACTGGCAATCAAACCATAATGAGTAATAAGAAGGCACTAAAATATTAAAACTAGAATTCAATGAAATATATCACTATTAAAATTGTTTTTAATAAAAGAAGCCACTGGTATAATTTCAACAATTTTGAAATATAATCAAACAAAACTTTTGATCTGAAGTAATATAGACTTAATGAGATTTTTAATGAAATGATTCAAATGATTAGAAAAATAAGAGGAAAGGGAGGAAGTATTATCTTGAGCATTATTTCCCAGTGCTGATACACCCTTCCCAGACCTCTTTAATATTGCTTTTAGTGATTTTCACTGTACTCTCTATCTTTATGTTGTCTTTGGAAATCATCAGTAATCACTGACTTCAGTATCTTTTTCAAATTGGTCCTTCTGTAGGGGAGAACCCCAGGGGAGATACAAGTGAGAGATCTAAAAAGCCACTAGAATTTGAGATTGTCCACGTATGGATCACATGGAATTTACAAAAGACACCAGCTTCTAGATCCTATTCAGCAAGAATTCTTTGTTACCATTGTCCTTCAAAGAGGCTAGATCTCATATTATTAAAATGGATTTTAGAAATATTTTAGGATCCATTAAATAAAGCACTTGAGCTTCAAGAAGAAGGGATTCTTTGTAAGAAAGAAACATACCCAAAGAACAAGAATTTTATTAATTTATTGCACGAAAATTGAGTCATCTTTCAGAAATGCAATTATACCATTTTGTTACAAATGTGTTTAAAATCCTGATATAAGAGACTTGGAGATTTTTAATGAAAGAAAAGTATTTCAGAAAGTTGTATTTTTATTACGGACTGTTGTCTTCTGATCAGGAACAATAGTAGTCATGTGATTGAGAACATAAGTGAAAGGACATATATAAAATAAGAAGATGATTTTAATATCAATGCATGCTGTTCATGCAGATGATTATACTGTAATGACTGCCAAATCCAGAAACCTAAGCATTGGACTTTTTAGCACATGGTGCATTTTATTGTCAGATCATCACACAAAACCTAGGTTAAACTGTCTCACACATTGTCCCCTTTAGGAAAGAGAACAGGATGTATCTGAGTCACATTATTCATTCCTGATTCCATATGCCAGACATATAGGATATCTGCTTAAGAAATTGTACCCCCAAAATACAAGGAAATTGTCACAATACTTTTAGTAAACTGTTTATGTGTTGAATTTGATGTCTGCAAGGACAATAGTTATGTCAGGAAGCTTTGTTTTGTGCTTTGAATTCTTATGAAATATTTTATGGTAATATCATTCAAGGAAAGAATGGGTGGTGACATTCTTTAGGACAACCTGAAATTGAGATGAAAACACCATTTCCTTGGCTTTGTTGTTCATTGTAGTGCAAACCTGATTTTATGTTAATTGCTATAGTTCTGAACTTTTAATGGAAGTGCAGACAGCTTCCTTTCATTGATTTGTAAGGCCTCTTTCTGTACAAAGCTACATATTTATCACCCAAGCTTCTTTTTCTATTTGTGCTGTCATCTCACCAAGACAAAAGCAAAGACAAAACAAAGTAGGTGAAACAAGAGCAATTAAAACATATTTGACGTGATGAGGTGATGAGTTATACCCAAATACTTGCCTTCTGCTAAGGAACCTGAAACCCTAAATGAGAGAAAAAAGTTCAAATTGAATTTTTGTTTACTCTCAAGAATCAGACAGAAAATGTAAAATCTTGGAATGCAAAGATTAGCTAGACATATTTAGTGAGTTATTCAGTGAAGTAAATCTTAATCAAGTTAAACCAAATATACAGCTGGCATTAAGTATCTGTTAATGATAAATACTTTTAATTTCTAAAATAGGCTAAAATATTCTAATTGATAAGGTGAAAAGAATTTTACAAAGGTGATATGTTTTATTTATTAAACATAAATATATTGAAATTTATTTATAAAAATACCATTACTTAGGACTTTTATTTTAATTAAATTATATGGGAGTATCATATTTCCCTAGATAATGCTGCCAAAATTGTAATAGATTTAATCATTTAGTGTTCTTATTTTGCCACACGAATTGAACTGGTGACCCCTTTATTTTAACCACCAATAATCTCATTGAAGAACCTTCCTAGATTAGTTTGTTTACACATTGTACCGAATTATCTGATATAATAGTATCTAGTGTCAATAATATTTTGATGCTCCTCTTGCCAACATTTTATAGGTAGTTTTAAAGAATCTTGTTAAACTTAATTTTGAAATACATTTTATATCAGGTCTTCCCCAAATCTGTTTGATTTCACAGTTGAAGGAGTGCCTGTCACCACCCAGCACACTATTCTTTTGCTATAATGAGTAACTTGCAAAATAGCAGCTTAAGTTAATTCAATGTTATATCAATTCTGTATGTTGTCATTTGCATATCATCTGCATTTCTTGCTCTACACTGGAGCTGAGAATGGTATAATGTACCATAAGACACAGTTGCTACCCTCTAAGAGGGAAAAAATATGTGCACATGTATCATCACAAAGTAATGTATAACTCCAAGTAAGTTAGTTTCAGACATATTAGCTGATAAATATTAATTAAATAAATAAGTCTGTGAGTGATTACTGAAAATGATAAGAAATTCAGAAACAACAAGGGGAAGGAAAAAAGGAATTCCTGGTGAAAGTTCTATTTTGACTGTGGAATCAATTCTAAACAAAATACTTTTGGGACTAGAAAAAAACTAGCATGACTGGAGGCAGAGAGCCTGCCGGGGGTTTAGTGTGTCATAGAATAGACTCCCGTGTTAGACAGACACAGGTTCTAATCTCACCTTTGCCATTTACTAGCTGTGCAATTTTTAGGCTTTACTTTGCTCATTTATAAAATGTAGAAATAAACCTATCATATTCAAATACTAGAATTCAATGAAAACTTGATGCACTATCTGGCTCAATAAAATGTAACAAATTTATACTTTAAAAGCTTATATAAGTGAATTGTGGAGAAAACTCATCTGTCAGAAAAAGATAATCATGAGTTGCTGAAGGCTTTTAACAAAGCACTATAAACAAGCAGAAGAGCAAGGTTGTTCTGACTGTGGGTGGCAGAGTATGGATCGAAACAACCATTGGTCTTGGGTTAGCAGGGCTTCAACTGCATGATGCCAGTCTAGTAGAAATGAGAGTATGAATTTGGGAGGCACTTTTCAGAAAAACAGTTCTTACTGAATAAATGGCTTTAGGAAAAGAAGGGAAATGAAAATTTAAGTAGTCAATTGAATTTTTATGGCTGTTATTTTATTATTTATTTTTACAGTTCTATTTCTTCTGGGGGGAAAAGTGTTCTAATCTGTTATATTGGATTAGAAAATTTCTTTGTGATATTATGCTTGGAGATCCAAAAGTATATGTACTGAAAGATTAGAGCTTAGAACATTAAGAATTTTGTGTGTATTTAAATAGACACCCCATTTTAACCTTGGGAGAAAATAAATGTTACCATCTAACTAAATCAAGTCAGCATATAATCAATTGGTATGCTTTTTAAAGAAAATTATCTGCTCCTCTTCCTTCTTGGGTATTTAGGAAAGATCAATTTAGTTAACAAGACTAACTGCCTTTCAGGTTTTATCTCAACTTAAGGAGGATTTAGCCAGAGATATCAAAAGTTGCCAACTTACTAGTAAAGGAGATATGAAAGTCTGATTCTAAAGCTTAATTAGAGAAAATTCTTTGACACCTAGGAAACTTCTCAGGAACAAAGAGAAATAGCAAGACAGAGAAGGACTAAATAAATAGCATAACTACATAGGAAAGGGCACCAACAGGAAGCAAAAGAGCATCACAGTACTTAGGAAAGAGCACTGGACCAGAAGGCAGAAGACCTGCGTCCAGCTGGGCTTTGATGGACAAGTCACCTAACTTTCTTTAGGCCCCAGTGACCATCAGTAAAATGAAAAGGTTGGAGATAACTTCTAACCTACATTTTGACTCAAAAATTCTAGGATTCTAAGTCTTTAAAGCAGTTGATGAAAGTTTTTAGCCTCAGCATAGAATAGAAAAAGAAACATGACCTGTGGGTCATAGAATGGTTTTATATTTTGGTTATCATTGAAAGAGAGAAAGGAGCATGGTTTAGAGGATGAAGCATCCAAGTCAGCCACAGGGGCAAGTCCACACAGCGCATCTTGGTCCAGGGAAGGCATCTGCATGAAAGGCCCAGAACTGATGAACCACCCACATGCTGTGCATGTGACAGTGACCAGCACTCGCATTTTTGATACTTTAGACTAATAATAACCACAACTTGAAACACGAATAATATTCAGAGGATATGTGAAGTGCTTCACAATCTAGGCAGGTGTGATTTGACCTGGAAACAAAGCTCCCTTTTATATGATTCGAACACAGATAATAATAACAACAGTGTGAATTGGATGAAAGTCTTTAGCCCTCATAATCTCAAAAGTACCCCAAGGATACCATAAATAAAATTTACACTATATAAAATGAATATTTGATATTCTATCAATTTATTTAACTATAACTAAAAGTATCCTTCTACAGTTTTGTTTTTTATTTTGTCAATTTAATATGCAGTCTTGTGAAGAGTCTCACACATAATGTTTGCAGAATAATAATAGATTGAGGCCACTAGCTTAGAAGTCCCTTCCTGAAAAATGACAGTCTTAAAACTCCTTCTCTATTGAAAGGAGACACCGTTGCTATAAAAATGTCATTTAATTTCTTCTACATAAAAGGAATTATTAGCTAATTTTAAAATAGTGTACTAAAATCTAGAACAGATTTTTTTAAATCCATATTCATTATTTTCTTTCCAAAGTCTGTGAATCTCTTAGAATTGTATGCCAGTCAATTCTTATATGTTTATGTATATTTTTCTGAGAATGTATCCAGCTTTCATTAAATTCTTAAAGAAATCCATGACCAAAAGTAGGTTAGAGAATTTCCTCTGTGATCTCAAATTGATGAAATCATGAAACCAAACTGCACAAAATATATGTAAGGGTTACCATTGAAAACACTCAACACAAAATACACAATTAAAATCATCACAATCCTTAGCTAATGCTCTGGCTATAACTGCTGACCATCCTCCTTCAAAAATTCACATCCTTCAGGCTCAATTCTCCAATAAGAATTAGTCATGCAAATTCCAAAGAATAAGAAATTTAGAGACAATTTTTGGAAGCTAAGCCAGTACCTACTTCATTTGTTTAGGAATCAATATGAATAAAAGTACTTGGAATATGAAATACAAAGGTCTGTATACTAACTTGCTTATATGAAATCCAATGTAAAGACATAAATCCATCTTGATTTATCAAATTGTTTTTCAAATACTCCTAAACTATGCTGGATATGAGTTGCCTTTTCACCTGCAAAACTTTTGCAAACCTTATTTGTCATTGAAAAGGCAAACTGAAGTGAAAACATATTATCATTTTTTTTAAATTTCTGCATATATGTGTGGAACAATTTGGCCCAAAGTCTGCTTTTGGAAATGAGTGCACAAATCCAATGAAGCAAAAAGTGCCTTGTGCTTGTCTATCGAAAGGAATAATTTGCCAAGAAAAGTAATAGCACAGCTACAAGTGAAATTGAAAACTAAGTGGAGCATTGATAATGCTTAGGACTGGTTACTCTTCCAGGCCTAAATAGCCAATAAAGTTTAGAAATGTGAATACAAATGCCTTTCTTCAAGTTCAGACATATTTAGCTCTTGACTTCTTATCATATGCCATTCTATTGATTTTTATTTTTTATATTTTCCTGATTGATGTTATTTTTTGCAGTTAATTTTTAATAGACAATATAAAGTTGTGATTTTTAGTTATAAACTCTGTTTTTCTGCTAACTTGCTTCATCCACCTTTATTTGGGAAAGCATCGTTAATGAAATTACAGAAGTAGATCCTAGTTGATATTTGCTCTTCTACCTAGATATTGCTCTTCTACCTAGATATTGCTCTTCTACCTAACTCATATTGTTATATGAAACAGGCTTTCATGCATGCAACTCTTGTAACAATATTTACACTGCAGCCATCATTTAATAACAAAATGAATAGTCTATATACAGTTAATTTGTATTCATTTTACATAAAATTATTATTTTCTTATTAAAATAGTTCCCCCCAAAATTTAGCATGTGTGGGTGAATGTGTTTGTGTGTGTGTGTGTGTATCTGCATTACAATGAATTTTAAATCAGATGAGTTTTCCAATTTGGAATTTAAATTTGGTTTCAAGGAAGGGATAATAGTCAATATATAGTATGATGGAAAACAAATTGTGTTTTATAAAATTCCTACCAAAAAAAAAAAGATGAAGATCCCTAATACTTAATGGGGAAAGAACAGAGTTGTTAGCCATGAAACCTCTTTTTCTAGAAATAGATCTATATACATTTTTTTCTAATATAAATGGCCCACTTACCAGGACTCAAGTCTATTTCAGTCACTTTCATTTAATGGAGCCTGAGGGAGAAGACTCACCTTGTCTATCTAAATATGTATGAAAGGGCAAGCCTTCTCTCTGGGCCATTGAAAGTTCTATTAACCTCCTGCAGATTCTACCTGATGGGGCAGACCTGAAACTCCTATAGTGTCTATACTTCTCTGCCTGACCCATGCCCCACAAATAAAGTAGAACCTTGATAGAAGCCAAGTACTGCACATGTTCTCCATCCTATGATCAGAGGCACAAAACCAAGTGCACCAAAGCAAATCATATAATTAAGAACAATTAATGTTTTTCTGAGATCCTGAAGAATAACCCCTATATTTTACTTCTTTCTCAAATTATATTTGATACAAAGTAGAGTATAAATTTTGGCTTGAAGAGAACAATTCTATAAGGCATTGTATTTATAAAATAAATGAGAATAGTCTTTTGGTTTGCTTTTTCCCAATTACTAAAGTATCACTGCCCATTGTAAAAAATTTTGAATGAGTGGGGAAGCATAAAAAACAAAATGGAATCCAAATTAATCACAAACCCTCCACCCAGAAAAAAAAATTTGTTGTATCTTTAGCCAATATTTTTATTAGTACTAAATATATGTATAGTTTATTGTCAGAATAATATCACAAAGAATATACAAATTTCTTTTTTTTGCACTTAACATCATACTGTCAGTATTTTCCCTAGTCATTAAATTTTAATGGTTATGAAACATGTCATAGGAATAAATGGTACTTGTCACTACTACCTCAAAAGCTTTATAAAAACGTACATACATTTCCATGTAATCCAGAAGAATCTGATGGAATAGGCTTAGGTCTGAGCATCTGTATTTGTAAGTTTTGAGGCTTAAATCAAGCTTCTAGATAGTGGTCTGAACAGAAAATTATTTAATTCTCCCTTTCTTTGGGACATTCACATTGTCTTCTATGTTTTGAGACCAAAAAAATATATACCATTAGATTTATTACAAGTTACTTTGCCAACATCTTTGACTAATTTCTTAGGATTGATTCCTAAAAAAGGAATTATTGGATCAAGGAGATGGATTGGGTTAAAGCTTCAGTTTTATCAAGGCAAATTTTTTTTTCTGGTTTTAACACTGTCATCAATCTATGAGATTGCCCACAATATTAAATTCTTGACAATATTGAACATCATGTTTACTTTTATTTTTCTAATATGAATGAAGAAAACTGAATTTACAGTACTTTTACTCACTAATTCCAATAAGATTGAATTGCTTGTATATGATTTGTATTTCTTCCTGCATAAATTATCTATCAAAGCCCTTTGATGATTCAAAAGGAATTTCTTTATTTCATTATAAAATTTTTGTTAATTCACATCATTTTTAAGTTGTTTTAAACTACATTAGGATGTGCTGGATGGAAACTATGAAAAAATCTCAGTCTTGTTTTGGTAAATATTTTAGACATCATAACACCTGGTATTTAAATTTTATAAAGAACATAGTACAAAGATAGCGTGTCAGTGAAGACAGCCATCTTAAAATCAGTGAGATGTTTTCATTTGTATAAAACTAAGGAATCCTTTTTTAACAGGATAATAAAGCACTAACACCACTGCACAATAGTTAGAGAAATAAATTGTAGTGGGGCCATATACTGTGGGCATCCAACATTAAAGTGTTTGTCCAAGTAAGTGAGAAAGAATTGAATTTGTTTTAGCCAGGCGAAACCTGTTATTGCAAATTATTTATTCTACAAACTTCACATGCCCTGAATATCCTGTGGTTGGTCAGAAACTAATTCTAAGTGTTTATATACCAGTTCTTTACAATAATACAGGAAATCATAAAAACACTTTACTAAACTTAAGCTTTATAAATTTGTCCCATTAATTTATATACATATTTTAGCAAATGTACACTTTAATACCTCACCAACGAGAAATTACATTATAAGACACGTAGTTTAGAAGTAAATATAATGCATAAGGCATAAAGTAATCTTGAGCATATTCGACTCTACAGAATTTGGTGATAAGTCATTACGGAAGAGTCAAGGGAGTGGCAAATGTGTTAGCCTGTGTTAAGCATGCTTTTTACAAGAAAAGTCTCACTTTTAACTTTCTAAATTTACCCAAAATTAATAAATGAAAAAAGTAAATCTGTTAGCTCCCTGCTTTAAAAGTTTTTTTTAGGTAACATTTCAACTACATCCTTAACAAAATTAAGTCCCAAATCAGGCAGTAAGGTAAATTTTTATAATCTCAAGTTCAATTGAAGAGAATTCCAGGAAAGCCTTTGGAGGTTTTCCAGAGGTCCTGGAATTTGATCAAGTGAGCATTTTCATCCCATAGTCAAATTCCGTATCATTTCACCACTAGGAAAAAAACTAATTGGAGACTTTTTCTTACGTAGACTTCACATGATGCATAAAAGGCAAAGGCAAATAAGAAAATTTTCTGGGTTCTATTGCACTCTGTAAAAGGCCATTGTCAACACACCAGGGTTTTCCAATGTGGTTTATATATCCAGCAAGAATGTGTTCAGCTACTATTTCTTCCTTCCCTCCCATTTTTAAATGGGTAAAAAAAATCATTTTAATTGACTTTATTCTGTAAAAGCTGCATTTAATACAATAAAAGGTATAATTAATATAAGAAATAACCCACAATATTTTTCTTCTCTCTTTTGCTTAGCAGACCACTATTACACCTTCTTTAATAATTAACTAAAGTACAAATATCCCTTATAATCGATATGAGTTTCTGACATTGATTTTGAAATCAAGTTCTCAGATGTATTAAGGAGATTCCAAAGCAGTATTTAAATGTGCTTCAGTAAGGATGTCTTCCTATGTCCCTCATTTATCTGACTGCTTAGGGTGCCCTGACCTTGTTTACTACAATTCTTTCAGGATTCCCTTTTCACTTTTGCTGAATAAAAAAAATACTTTTTAACCTAGTGTAGTAAAGTGACAGAAACAATTTTATACTTTTTTTAACCATTTAATGATTCTTATTATTAACAATATGAAAAAAGTAATCATTCCATAAAATAGAACAGATGTCCAAATGGTCCTGATATATGTGGTTTATGTTGCAGTATAAATAGCAATCCAAGGAGGCCTTTAGACCTAAATTGATTATGTAAGGAAATGACACACTTAATTTTACAATTACAGAAAATAACAGGCTCTATCAAGAAATTTTGAAATGCTGAAGATATTAATTATAAGTGCCTTCCACTATATATCATTAAAGAAAAGAAAATTTTATATATGATGATATTAAATGGACTTTACTAAGGAAGCACATATTTCTGGAAGGAAAATGTGAATTACTTGTGAACTGGGCAATGACTTATTTATTAATCAAACGTAAAATCAAATATAGATATGTACACACATATGGATAGCAGTGTGAAACTAATCTGTTTTTACATGGCCTATTATATGGTATTAGAAAGACAATGTTTTAGAATAATTTTTGTAGATAGCTTGATTCCGAAAAATTTTATCAACATAAAGCTTTTTTTCCTTATCCATTCCTTTATTTTGCTTTTTTGTTTTTTATTGTGCTGTGAAACTGTCTTTGGATATGGCTAATAACCCTGTTAAATAACCCTCTCATGAAATGGTTTTAATTTTATCAAAGGAATGGTCTAAACCAACATATAAAATAATTTGGATACTGCTTCACTAAAAAAAAAAAACCTAAAATGAATATTTAAAGCTAAAATAACATGAATTATAAGAATCATTTTCTCCAAAATAGGAAAACTTTAGTAGTTTCAATTCATTGAAAGACAAATGTAGTTTCTTATAAAGACAAAATAAATTAAAACAATTCCTTTTTCCCAACAGAATTTAAAAAAAAAATAGATGTTTCTAGCTTCACTGAATATTTATTTATTTTTACATTTTAATTTGGTTCTTTTGATGATTAAACTGATCACCTGATATTGTTCATTTTTAAATATATTAATTATTATATGCCACTAACGTGACACTTGGGAATGTGGGAACACCTAATCATTTAATTATCTATGTAGTAAATGGCAGTCTTAAAGAGTGTTAATGCTCCTAAAGCATATGGTTTGCTCATGGGAAATGTCCACTCTTCAAATGGATCAACACATCACAACAGTGGAAAAGTACATTATTCACCTGAAATACCATGAAAACATTTTACACTTTAACAGGCTATTTAGTAGTAAAGTAGCCAGCACTTTATTAGTCAGCTAAATGACACTTTACTTGCAAATCATGCTGTTCATCAATGCAGTTGTAGTTGTTTCATCTGCTCTGTAATTCATTTGGCATTAGGTAATCACCAAATTCAGTGTTTCTCAAATAGCACAGACTGTAGCCAGAATTCCTCCGTGTATAAACCACTCCTTAGATAAAACAGAAATTTCATTAAATTCTGGAGAAACCTTGGAAAAGTTAATGGTTCATTAAAAACTGTAACTTGAAAGCAGGAAAGAAACCAAATGCATGGGAAACAAAAGCCCATAACATTTTTTTTTTCAATCCTCTTAGAATAATTAGAATATGCTGTCCCTAATCCCCCATAAACATAGAGAAAATCTAATCTAAAGTGTTTGTTTATAAAGTACATATCACATGCAGCATTGCTTCCTGGGTTTAATTGCTTAATTTAAACAGTCAAATTGGATATGTGATCCTAATTTCTAAATAGAATCTAATGCCTTCAAGAAGCAACAAGAACTTTATATGTAAGAACTTATCCCTAAGAGCTGCTACTACTGTCTCTTGACTAGCCTGTCTTTTTCAGCCCATGAAACTGAGCTAACCTGGATTCTGAGACCAACTAAATCAAGCAAACTAAACCCACATAAATAAAGGGAATAGTAATTAAGCCATAATCTTTGCTGTCAGAAAATCAGTATACAAAATTAATGACTGCTTTGTTGGTTTGTTTATGCCATTTTGTTTTACCTTCTGAGAATGAATTTTCATTCCAGTCTCTCTTGGGTCATTGACATTCTTAGAGGTAAAGGAATTAGAGACACAATTTTTTCTCAATTAAGAGTAAATACAAGTTTATTACTGTTGTGCAAAAAAAAATCATATATTTGTTTGATGAGATCAGTTATTTGACAATAAAAGAACCATGAAAATGAACAGCACCAAATACTGCATGTTTAATACATTTGAAATTGGTTACAATTGCCTTTGGTTTGGACTCTGGTGGAAGGGACTGCAGGATGGCAAAATGAGAGGTTTATTTAGCGTCTGGGAGAAGCTTATAAAAGAGCTTAAGTCCTCATTCCTTCTAACATCTTAACAGCTGTGCAGTTTCTTACAAAATATGTTTTATCGTTTCAAGAAATGCTGTTAACCTCGCAGTTTTAAAACTGAATGAACAAGGCCTCTTGGACAAATTGAAAAACAAATGGTGGTACGACAAAGGAGAATGTGGCAGCGGGGGAGGTGACTCCAAGGTTAGCCTCAATGTCACCAAAAGCGGGTAAACAGTATGTAAAGTAATAGGTGCATCTGCTGGGAGACATATGGTTTGGACCTACTAATACCAGTTGAATTGCTTGTCAAATCCCTTCACAAACTAAGTATGCAATTACTGTCAAAGCAAAAATATTTGCAACTATTATCAATTTGTTGACACATTAAAAAATCTGATGAAAATACTGAAAAACTGTAGTTAGAAAAGGCTGTGGATCAGACATTTTTTTGATAGTCCTCAGAGCCATGTTTTGGAAAAACAGGAAGAGATGCAAGTTTCTATAAGAGCAGAGCAATTTAGTGAAGAGATGACAAAGAACAGAGAAGGTAAATCTGTTTTATTTTCTTCACCATTACTTGGCCAGAAATTTTACCAATTATTTGTAAATAACAGCAGTGATGTGGCTCCACCTTGAACTAAGAAATCCTACCAGAAGTTTTTTTTTTTTTTTTTCATATAAAACCCTCAGGCTTCTATTGAAGAAAAAATAAGAACTCAAAGATAGTTATGTAAAGTACACATTATTTTTTTGCCTTCCATTAATGGATCAATTACAAAATTATCAGGCCAGAAAAATAAGAACAAATCTATTGTTACTTCATCCATTTCATATTTTCATCTTCATGAAATAAATGGCAATAAAAATACAATTAGCAGAACATACTACATAGTGTCCCATATATACCAATGTTTATAGACTTAAAGAAACCAATCCACAGATGGAAAAATTCTGACTGAATAACTACCTCTAACTGATAAGTAAAAATAATGAAAACTTTAAAGTATCTATTTAAGAGTATAGATTTTTTTTTTTAATCTAGAAATTTGTCCAAATCTGCTTATCTGCAGCTTCACTGGATTATATGTTATCTCACTTGGCCATCTAATTCACACAACAAGACTGTTTTCAGGGAGTATCTTTCCAGGTGGCTGCAATTAATCCTTCCCAAACCCATTCTCAAAAGCCTTTCAAATTGTGATTACTAGTCTATCTACTTCAGAAAGAGGAATAAAAAGTTTGCCTCGATCCTAGGCACCATCTGTCTTAATCCATTCTGTAATGCTCCAACAAAATACCCAACTCTGGGTAATATGTAAAGAAAAGACGTTTATTTGGCTCATCATTATGGTGGATAGAAAGTCCAAACAGAGTGGATTAGGATATCTGGACACACCATAAAATTCCATTTGGCATCTCATGGTGAAGGAGCGGGAAAGAGAAAGAGAAGAGAGAATGGGGTCTTGTGTAAGAGAGGAAGCAAGAGACCCAGAGGCCCAGTCCCATGAAACCTAATCTAATCTTGAGGAAACACCCTGTCTCAAAAAAAAAAAAAAAAAGCATTAATCCATTTGTGAGGACAGAGCTCTCTCATCACCAAAGGCGTCTCAAAGATTCTCGCCTTCTCACCACAATACTGTTAAATTGAGAGTTTAAGCCTCAGTCTGAGTCTTGAGGGAGAAGAATCACATTTGCATGATAATATCATTTTAAGGAGTATTAATTGGTTGTATATTTTGGAGACCCAAATTACCTAGAATTTTTCTGATAGTTTCTATAAGCATATAAATAAGTATATATATATATATATATATATATATATAGGCAGACAAAATTATTCAAGTTTATACTAATATTCTAGCATTCCTCTATGTAAATTAGAAAGATCAAAAAGTCCTATAGTAACACCAGAAAGAATAAAAACAGATATATTATTCCACTAGAAAATTTTTGCTTGCAAATTTTACTTTATTTTTATCACAAATATAAGAAGTATAACAAAGCTATAACAGATAAAATTTTCTAAAAATATATTGAAGTCCCATTTTAGTGGATATTTAAGACCTCTCAGAGAAAAACAGAAAAATAGAGCAGAAATGTACATATATTGGGGGAAAAAAATTCTATGTAACAAAAATCATTGTAATTGATTTAAATGAATGATTAAACAACTTAGATCTAATCAGTTTCAACACACTATTTGTTGAACACATTGTTTGTTATATACTAAACACTCAGTAAATATTTATTGTCCAAAAGAATAAATGTGAATCTAACCTTATCATTTCCAAAATTAAACTGCTTCTTCTTTCAGGTGTGTAGTCATTGCTTTCACAAATATGAACCAGAAAAGTTTATTTTAAAAAGTTATTTCAAATCTTAACAAGTAGCTTTCCAAAATGTTATAAAAATTAACATAAAATGTTCACCTAAAATGAAATTTATATTATGTTCTATTTTCCCTCAGGAATTTTGTTTGCATAAAAAACAAACAAAAAAACCTAGTAGGTTGTACATTGACCTAAAGTTTATCACCAACAGAGTAGGTTGTTGCAATCTAAATGGTAATAATGCTCTACTTTGAATTTGTAATGAAAGGTGCTATTTTAAATGGCCTGACCTACCTTAGATCAAACTAAATTATCAGACATCATTTGTTGGTTTTTTTCATTTTCATTTTGTACTTCTTCAGGTGACTGATTTTCTTTTTAAACTTACTTCACCCCTCCCTTTGACCTGATCTCCCTCAAAAGAGGTAAAATATGAAGGAAAATTACAGAATTAAGGAATGCAGCTGATTCTAAAGCCTTTGTTGATTGGGAAGCTGAAGCAGGAGAGACAATTGCTGCCACCTGAGTGTAGGGGGAAGCATACCAAAAGATCGTAGCACAAGATGGCTGAAGTCCTGGCTGATCTGATTTTGAAATATAGAATCTTGGTAGGAGAACATTAACTTTCCTAAGTGTTTCATCTCGTGAAAGGAGAAAACACAGAAACAAGTGCCACACATGGAAAGGTTTCTATGCAAAGAAAATTGATCCCCTATCATTCACAGGATTGTAATGGATGGAGTTGAGGGAATGGAACATATCTCCAGCCTTTCATTCAACATCAAATTATCTAACTTCTGTTTTGATTTGGGGCGGGGGGAGTGGTAGAACCTATGGAGAAAAAGAGAATTAAGCACTGTACTTTCCTTCAAGGGATTTATTACTTAATATGACCAACAACTGAACTATTCAGCTTCCGTGTCACACTCCACAATCTGAGATAATCAGCATCGTTACTCACCTGGTAGCCATTCCCAGTACTAGGAAATTCTGAGTGAAGGAATCTTTGGCCATAAAAATTTAACAAAAGGTATGAAGAAAGGGTCCTACATCTTTCAAAAAGGACAAGTGAAAAGGTATAATTTTAGAGGTGTAAGTTTTTTTTTAATTCATTCCTTCACAGTTTATTATCAACTCATGTGTTGACTTTTTAACAATCATTTCATAAATGGAGGCAGGGCTGAAGTATGTATGGAAGAGTCACGGTATAGTTAGTAAAACCTAGATTAACTGGGTTCATCTTAAGCACTTCAATTAACTACCCCATCTCCAAAGAGCATTTAGTGTTAAATCATGCTTATGTCAGATATCAGCCCAAATATAAAAAAAACCTAATACTCTGGGATCATGGCAAATGCATATTACTTCTTCAGTGGACTAGTGAACATAAGCCATAGTAAGATCTTATAACACTTATACAAAATTTAAGTTGTATTTTAAAACCATATAAACAAAATGAAAAAGTGGCATTTGGAAACATTTTTCAAAACTAAATTATGGAAAGTAATAGATTTTAGTTTAACTTTTAGAAAAAAAATTAATTACACCCAGAAAACCCATTTTTTTATTGCATATTCTATGAAGTCAGACTACGACAAATCCTGATTCAGCTATCACCCAGCCATGTAACTAGCTGAGTTAAGCTCTCTGTGTCTTGTTTTTCTCATTTGCAAAATCTGAGTGACAGTATTAAAGTGTTAAAATATTTTTTAAACTGTCTGGTACACAGTCAGTGAATAGTAAGTGTTAATCATTATCACTGTCATTATTAATGCATCATCTAGTTATGTAGCTGGGTTTATGGAATTAATCTTCTGGTAGCCAAATAAATGCACGCTGTGTTTCACCAAATGCACTCAATCAGATGTAAGGTTCTGAATCATACACAAAATGACTGTGGCAGCCTGAAAAATGTCCATAGGATTTGTAGCCAACCTCCAGCAGAAAGAAACCAAAAGTAACCAACCATAAAGACAGTAACAACAAATGATCCTAGTAGATAGTGCTTCCTATTCATCTTCTTGACTTTCATATTGTTACATAGAAAATGAAAGGCTGGGGTAATTTTTATATTACTAAGGATATTGATACTAGATGATAGCTGACATCTCACTCAGACTCATTATACAGTATTGGTATTGAAAGTATCAAAGACAGAAGAACATTTTTCAAATGACTTTATAGTAAGAAGCATTTTCTAGTCAGAAAAATTTTAGTAATCCCTAACCTATCATTACTAATTTAAAATCACCTGTACTTTGAGTATATTAACATAGTAAAATCAAGAGAAGATAGATAAAAGTGGCTCTGGTGATATTATTTAGGGTAAATACTGCAATTCAGAAGCAAAATATCAGCATGGGCTATGATTTAAATAATAATTCACATATTAGACTTATGAGGATCTTTGCATGAATTATGAGATGCTCTTGGTCTGTGATGCTAGATTCACTCTCTTCTTTCAATGAGGTCTTAGAATACAGTGGGTAAGGAGTCAATCTATTGATGGATACTGTGGACATAATTTTAGAGCATAAA